ACACACACACACACACACACACACACACACACACACACACACACACACATCTAGATCTGGTCTAAACGTAGGACTGATCTTCCTCACAGGAAAAGGGAGATAAGGTAGTTTAGGAGGAAATAATTTATCTGATCACATTACACACAGATGAGGATTTTCTTTAAACAAAAAACAACAAAACATATTTTACAAGCAATCAGGGAATCTAAGAACACATTAGTTTGCAAGTTCCTCATCTGTTGGTAATAAAGGGATGTATTGGTCATTCTAAAGTGAGGATCTATGAAAAAGTCAGAAACWGTACCTGYAGTAAATAGCTCTTYGAATGACCAGTTTTGAGAAAAGGATTTTATTTCTGACCTGATCCTAACCTAACACTAAAGCATATACTAACAGCCTCCATTCTAGGGCTATTTCTTCCACCCAGTTTCTAAACTTTTCATCCTTCTTTGCTCATTTTGGTATCAAAACACATTATTACCATAATAAATGAGTTAAAAATCAGTCAGTGTGAGCACTTCTGTACAAGAAGTTTAGAAACTTTAATGTAAAAACAAAGATCTTAGAGAAGCAGCTGTTGCTGCACGCCAATCTAAAAAGGGTTGTCAACATTTCCCCAACTGATTTTGACTATCATTTATCAATAAAAATGATTGTTTACAAATGTAAAATATTTTACATTGTTCCGGATGTCTGAAAGGTGGATGACAACAGAGAATAATCTTCATACATCTTTTATTATTCCTCAAAACAGAAACCACAGTTTGTTCTTTTAATTCTATCATGCTTTAAAGCGGTTAAACACCTGGAAAAATAAAGTCTGACACATAGCAAGAAACTTGGTATCATTCAGGGAAAACCACAAAGTAAATATGGGGTCAGCATTCTGAACAGACAGGCACAAGAATGAGATAATCTATAATCCTATAATAAAGATAAATGCCTAATGATTCAGCATCACACTTAGGTCTACAGCAAGTTAAACCATGCACCACAACAACCACATCCACAATCACTGGAACACGGCAGGCAGAATGAAAAAAAAAACTCAGTGGTCTTATGAATATACCCTAATGCATCCCATGAAACCCACCAACACCACAATACCAGACAAATATCACAAAACCTCTTAACCACTCCAATAGGGAGAGGGGGAACACAAAGAAGAGAAACTACTGTAGTCTTTACCGTTGGGAGGTGGTAAACTGAGATGCAGGGATGTCCTAGGTTTAGGATCAGGTAGGGGGTCCTGTTTGAACCCTGAGGGGTGGGGAACATCAAGGAACGAGGAGAAAATAAAGCATGGGGTTGGTTGGACAAGCCTTTTGGCTGGGGTTGGTTTGTGATGATTTTGAAGATGTATGATATTGTGATTAGTTTTAGCAGTTTCATGGCTTCAGTTTAAGAATTAATAAAATAAACCTTCATGAGGGGTTAAAAAACAAAATGGACACTCTATTTCCCATTATGGCTCAGGAGTCTATAGTGAACTGAGAGACCCGCAGAGTAATAGTTTCCAACACATGATTAATTTGGTGCTTAACCACAGTCCATGCCAAGTGCAGTTAACTCAGAAGTCATGTCACAGCACTCCATTTCATCACGCCTTAAAACTAAGGCAAAAACAGAGTGGACTGATAAGTTGCTACTTTGTCATACTCTTTTTTTTTTTCAAAAGATTTACTGTTTTGTTTAATAAAAAAATCAAGCTATCCATATTTTTGTCTTGGGTAAAACATTGAACTCACATTTTTAATGCTCTTTTTCTCACTAGATGACRGCCCAGCTATGCTCTCAACTATATGACCTATCAGACATATAAATATTAAAATTGTTTGACCTACATGGCCTTTTAGACCTATATGACCTATTAGATCTATTTGACCTAGATCTATTAGAACTATACGACCTATTACAACTGTATGACCTACATGACCTATTAGACCAATTAGACCCATATCTCTCTATCTCCGACTTCTGCCTCATTCATAGTCAGGTCGCAGAGGCAACAGGTCTAGCAGAGAAACCCATACATCCCTCTCCCTAGCAACACTTYCCAGCTTGTCCTGGGGGACCCCGAGGTATTCTCAAGCTGGAGAAGATACATAATCCCTTCAGGGAGCACCCTAAAATGGAAGCGTCCAGGAGGCATCCATTTCAGATGCCCGAACCACCTCAACTGACTCTTTTTGATGCAGAGGAGCAGCCGCCATACTATGAGCTCACCCCAGATGATGGAGCTCATCACCCTATCTCTAAGGCTGAGCCTGGCTACCCTATAAACGAAGCTCATTAAACACAGTCCACTTGTATCCGGRATCTTGTTCTTTCAGTCATGATCGACACCTCGTGACCACAGGTTATGGCTGGAATGTAGACAGACCATAAAATCCAAAACTTTGCCTTTCAACTCAGCTCTTTCTTTACCACAACTGACTGAAGCAACACCCTCATTACTGATGATGAGGTCCCAATCCATTGATTTATCTCCCACTCCATCCTACCATCACTTGTAAACAAGAAACCCAAATGCTTAAACTCCAAGTTAAGGCAGAGAGGGCAGCCCCCCTGAGTATGGAACWAGTGATCTAGTAGTTATTTTCTTGCAGTTTTCTGTGTCTCTGTAAGACTCTACAGCACTCTTAAAATGTTCTATACACCCACCTTAGCACAACTCTCTTGGCACAACAGTAAATATGGGTKTCATATTTGCACTGTGTTGTTTTCATGACTCTAACTATTTCAGCCAGGAATAGGTACAAGGGAAGCAGGGTCAGTCCTTTCTACAATCAACCAAGCTGTGCTTGTGCACATATCATTTACATGCTGCTCCCCTGTGCTGGAACCAGGCCCCCGATAAGCAACTACCTCAATGATAAACCATCAAGAACTTGCAATGGGAAACCACTGTAGACATATCACGCTCTATCACATATAATGGGGAGCCTTCCTAATATATACTTCAAGACCTAGCCAARACCCTGCAAAAAAGGCACTTTATTGCTGATTGTTTAAGTCATATCTGGGTCATCATCAAGTGTTGAAGTGYGTTTAATGCACTTTTGAGTCCCWCWTTWAAWTWWTKKTTTTGGTCAWTTTTCTCTTCTTTGACAGCAGCAACGATCCCAGTAACTCCACTGTCTCCATTGGTTTCAAACATGCTKTGATACCTCTGAAATGAGGGATGTAGTTGTGCTGCTGCAGCAGGGCCAGGGTAGTAGGGTTCAGCTGTAAAGACAAGCCTGCACTGACACCTGGTGGGGTGGGGGAGTACTTGCCCAAACCACCACCACTCCCTTCAGCCCCTGGGGCATAATACACGGGGAGAGTAGTGGAAGAATCCCTGGTACAGGTGGAGGGGTATTTAGCACCACCCAAGTGGTTTATAGGTGGAGGGAGAGAACTGGAGTCATGGGTTAGGCTCTTGTATCTACCACCAAGGCATACCTCTGGTCCTGGATGTCCAACCAGATCACAGAAGACAAAATGAGTTCATGAGTAAAACCTTTACAAATGGCTTCTAAAGTCAGAGCAAGAATGGTAATGTTGTTACAAATAATCAAAGCCTATGAAAAAAGATTTACATTCCATCTCACAGCTTTTATTGTTGTCATTATTAATTATTATTTAAACTTTGTAGCCCWCTGAGTTTAAAGCAGATGTTTTTCCATCATTATAACATTTGTTTTGTCAAAAAGGAGTTACAGGATTTAATTTGTAGGACATGGGAGAATACATGATTTAGTTCATAGTAACATCAACAGTGGGAAATCTTTTGAAACTACAGACAGAAGAGAAGTTATTAGCATATTTGCAGCAGGTGTTTTCTTCTTCAGTTTGTGCTTCATTTGACACACATTCTTGATCTCGATTAACCTTCCTGCTGTCCCTTGGGTCAAAATGACCCACAACTGTTGATGTTTTTGACCAAGAGCTAAATCACTTCAAACAGTGTCAGAAATACTTAAAATCCCAATGTGTGGAATTAGATTTCATTCGACTCATTCTGTTTTTAGGTTTACCTGCTCGGCTGTAGTTTTGAGGGGAACGGGACGGGGTGTACCGTCCGTAGCCCCCTAAGGAGCTGTTGGAGCTGGGGCTTGAGGGCCTCCGCTGACGGGGTGACCGCTCCCCATCACCCTGGATACATAAACACATAAATAAACAATAACAACATGAGCCAGGAATCTGGACAGTATTTCATTACTGACAGACACTTAATCAAACCTCATTCTTATTACAAAAGCCACACAAAAGAATGAAGAAAATAGAACATCAAGGGAACACAAAGGCTGTTTTAAATCAACTGCTGGGGTAAAACATTCTCACTCCCAACTCGTCACACATTGATGCTTTTCCAAAGTTCCCTCTGAATATTATTTTGACGCGTGGGGTAACCCCTTTGCGTCAGTTATTGACGCACCAGGCAATTTCCGGGTTCCCTTGGCGTCCGGTTTTGAGGCATCGGGACGCAAAATATAGGGGTCTTTGAGTTGTGGTCCGTGGTTAATATTAGGGATCAGGGTTCATGGTTAATTTTAGGTTGTAGGGTCAGGGATAGGATATCTATGTTTGGGAMAGGTAGTTGATGTGAATTTCCTACACTTTCTAAAAATGGTTAATTTTAGGGATCAGGGTTGATGATTAATTTYAGGTACTATAGGGTCAGGAACAGGATGTCTAGAGTGAATAAAGATAATTTTAGGCTTTGGGATGGTTAGATTTGTGCATTTTCTACACTTTCTGACAATATGACAATAGATTCCGCCCCTTCTCGTCAATAACTGACRCGAGGGGGATACCCAATGCGTCAAAACCGGATGCAGAGGGAACCTTGGAAAAGTGTCAATATGTGACAAGTTGGGAGTGAGAATGGGTTGGCTGGGGAGAGTAAAATTATTAAAATTATAGACAACCAACATGGGAACCGGAGGGAGGGGTCATTTTAATGAGGGGTTCTGTGGTGTGATATTAAATATTTAATATTTTACGTGTTGTAAATTGGACTGATGGGTTCTGGTGGGCTATTGCATTTTTAAACCAGGACCATAAAAAACAGCTGCTATTAAAAAAAACTCATATATCCAAACTGTCTTTGTATGAGCGTTAAAGAAGAAACATTTACAGAGTTGTTTATATCTCATTAAAYGCCTGAGGTAGTTCAGTGAACAGGTGTAATGTACGGCTCGCTCTGCTTCTGTCTAACCAGCAGCTTCTTGTACCCTTTGCACAGTTGGTTGTGGTGGTAATAAAAGCAGTGAGATGTTTTGATCAGTTTGCTGATATGATGTAGAAGTTCTGACAGTAAATAGACTTTGAAACCATTTTTTAATGAACAGGTGCTGGAGCAAGCTGTTTGTTTGACAAAACTGCGGTTAATTCATTGAAATCCATTACAACATCAGTTGTCATTGAAGATATCTAATTCTGATGTGCCACAAAAATGAAGAAGAGTAAATTGTTGTGATATTGATAACAGAGTACAACCTTGTTTTGAGTTGTAGCTTAAKTTAATAATTTCCTTGAAAAGTGCAACATGATATCTGATATACAGTATRTAAATGAACTTGTATTCTGCTTCCCATCTAAATACCTATAAATCATTAAAACATCATAAAAATAACCCATGTTTTCTCTAAATGTAACCAGAACCTGATTCTAACCATTTAAATATCAATTCACAGGAGATCAAGGTCCTGACATGTGGACCCCATCATGACATGAAAACAAAGAGTTACATAGTATATTAATACACACACACACACACACACACACACACACACACACACACACACACAC